TTTTGATTTTTGATTAGAAAAAAGATATATGATGTTAGATTTACTAGTTTTAGGCTAAATCTAGTTGAAAACAAGTTAAAATACAGTAAAAACGAGTTAAAAAGTTGTTGGCCGCCATTGTTGTTGTTTGACAGCTTTTGGGTTGGTGGAGAAGATGAACGGTAAATTACAATTTTACCCTTTTTGAATAAGTCTACCACTACTACAAATAAGTCCACCACATATTGTAAATCTACCACTAGTACAAGTAAGTCTACCACCTACCACAACAAGTCTACCATGCCGCTTATTTTTTAAATCTACTAGTACGTTTATCCGAATCTAAACAAGTCTATCGCTATTCAATATTAAGAAACAAGTCTATCGTAACTTAATATAGCCAAAAAAGTCTACCATCATTATGGTAGATTTACCAAAGATTGGTAGATTTGTTGTAGTAAAGACCTGCAAACATTAAATAAATCTACCAAGGAAAGTAACAAATCTACCACATAATATTAATCTACCGCCACTATAAATAAGTCTACCATCGCTAACAATCAATAAGTCTACCGATCAACAAATATAAATCTACCAAGGAGAGTAATAAGTCTACCACATCATATAAATCTACCGCCACTATAAATAAGTCTACCATCACGACGATCATAGACTTATTGATCGTCGTGATGGTAGACTTATTTATATCTGAATTAAATATACCATGAAGGCAATTAAATCTACCACAAGTAATTAATCTACCATCACATAGAAATAAATCTACCACTCAACAATAAGTCTACCGAGATAAATCTACCATTCGACTAATAAGTCTACCACATCATATAAATCTACCGCCACTATAAATAAGTCTACCATCACGACGATCATAGACTTATTGATCGTCGTGATGGTAAACTTATTTATATCCGAGTTAAATCTATCATGAAGGCAATTAAATCTACCACGAGTAATTAATCTATCATCACATAGAAATAAATCTACCACTGCATAAAGTTAAGTCTACCGAAATAAATCTACCACTCAACAATAAGTCTACCATTCAAAAACAAATCTACCAGCCACTAAATAAATATACCATCATGTGAGCGGTAGACTTATTTGCTTTTGGCAGGAAACTCATTAATGACAGTTTCGTAAATACGTTTTTTGTTAGCAAAGGAAAAAAGGGCAAAACCGGGTTTAAAATTTTTTGAAGAGTATTTGAGTAATTATGAAACAAAAACACCAAAATCATCAAAAAACCATTTATCAAGACTATTTTAGTAATTCTCCCATGAAAGAATCCAAAAGCCAAATTTCAAAGATGCTATTTAAAACTGACCCTCACACTCTTATAATTTACTAAAATTCATTCCTCATTATTTTTATAAAATTCTAAGGTCCGCCGATCCAGAGAAGTAGACACCATTGTAGTAAAAAATCATCTTTTGGATTCAAGGAAACGAGAAGGATGAAAGCTGATCAAATTTTGCCTAGCGAAATCCTCGTAAGCTTCTTTCATGAGATCATCGTCGTCCCATTCTTCACGGAAAGTCTCAGGCTGAAACACAAGTCTTTGGTAACCCCGGACTATTTCTTGAATTCTCCACTGTTCAACATGTGGAAATCCACATTGTTCTGTGATCCAGTTGAGGTATTCACACTATAACAAACAAAGTTTTAGTTAAGAAAAAAATATTGGAACTATATTTCTTTTGATTCCATATAATATATATGTAACATGATATTTGAAATGTAACTAATGTACCTGAATTCTACCCAATCTATGCGTGTATCTTTTGGGAAAACCTAACGCCTCAAGGTTTTCATATGACAATCTAAGATCTTCCATCATATTGTCTATCGAAGGAAGTGTAACTCGTCCGGATAAAACTGTAGCCACCCATTTGCTTTGGACTTCAAACATATAAAATTGCAAAACCTAATTAAAGATCAAATAAAAATGAGTCTTGTATAAGATCAAATGAGTTAAATAAATTTGAAACCTTTAATTATTAATTTGTTCAAAACTAACATTTGCTGATAAACCAATAAAGGAAAGTCCGGGAGCAAGCGCAGGTGGAAAGATATGTTTGTAGAGAGGATCAATGCGGTTGTCATCAATGTTAATATACCCACTGGTTTCAAGAAATGGAAAGTAATACTTATACCTTCATATAAAAAAAAAATGGAGTCATTCTTTTGTCACAAAAATGTAGTTATTAAATCTCACATTTCAAATTTATAAATTTGCTTTTTAAAAATCGAGTACCCAGTACAATGTACAATGGTATTGGCATATACCATCTTTCCATTTTGGAAAACAATTGAACCATCCTCGCGGACAATGTCTATCTACAATATATTAAAACAACAAAAATTCAATAGGAGCCACAAACCATTTCATATTTGTTTCAAGATAGAACCTCATAAACTTATATTATCTAACTTGTTATATATCGGTAAAACAAAATTATTAGTTTAACCTGAGAATGCATCCAAAGATTGTTTGTATGTCCGGAAAGCTTTTCGTATGTATCATGTTCACTCGCTCTAGATGCGACATGAACTTCTTTTGCGACTTTACATATGTCTCTACTAATATCGGCCCCACTCGCAAAATTTCCGATCACTACGACCACCTGCAGTTTAAATCTGATTTTAAGCTAATACATACGAAAAGCTTGTTATATGTTTTTATCATCTCTATGCTCTTAACTACAACGACATTAGTTATGCCATTCATTTTCTAATGAATTATAAGCAAGTCTTTGCTCTGGCCTCTGGTTCTAGCGACCAAAACTTCTACTTGCGAAAACACATCCAACTAGACAACTCATCCTTTAGGAATCTATGGTTTGGCAGTGAAAAACAAAATTAAGAGGCTTCGAAACTTATGTTATGTATTATTTTAAATATTTAGTACATTCTGTATTTTGTTTTTTTTATAAAATGACTATACTATATGAAAGACTAAAATAGTATAGACTCACGAA